TACCCGTGGTGGGCAGAGCACAGATATCTCATTGTGTAGCTTTGTGCTTAACTTCAAACAAACATATAAAGGTGAATTTTATACAAATTGTATTGTGATCAATCTCTTGATAATCTTGAAGGATATAGATATGAAGAAACGTTTTATTTTGTTGAAAAGAAGCCTTGTACTATCGTATAATATTATTTCACAAATATTGTTTTTTTTTTTTTGGAATTTTCGCGCAAAGCTACACGAGGGCTATCTGCGCTAGCCGACCCTAATTTAGCAGTGTAAGACTAGAGGGAAGGCAGCTAGCCATCACCACCCACCGCCAACTCTTGGGCTACTCTTTTACCAACGAATAGTGGGATTGACCATCACATTATAACGCCCCCACGGCTGAAAGGGCGAGCATGTTTGGTGGGATGCGGATTCGAACCCGCGACCCTCAGATTGTGAGTCGAGCGCCTTATCCACCTGGCCATGTTCACAAAGATACGTGAGTTACAACATTTAGTTTCGTATACGTTAGAATGGTGTTGATTTGGTGTAAACGTGATTCAAAATGTGTTGAAAAGAAAAAAAAAGTGATGTGTTCGAGACTTTAAGGTTCCAATTCAATTTTTTTTTATCCCTTATCTGGAAAAATTTTAAATAACATGACATTAACAAATATTACTTGAGCGTTAAGATTGCAGAAATTGGAGCAAAATTGAAAATTTTAAATAATGTTAGCAAACTAGAACTAAAGAGCTTACAGTTTGGATTCAATTATTTAATTGTGTGTTCGTATTTAAATTTGAATAGGATTTACCACGACACTTAACATATCACTCAATATCAAACGAAATTAAGTTTTGATTGTTAAATGTATATGAATTGGTTTGAATTTTGCGCAAATCTACATGAGGGTTATCTGCGCTAGCCGTCCCTAATTTAGCAGTGAAAGACTAGAGGGAAGGCAGCTAGTCATCACCACCCACCGCTAACTCTTGAGCTACTCTTTTACCAACGAATAGTGGGATTGATCGTCACATTATCACGACCCCATGGCTGAAAGGAAAAGCATGTTTTGTGGGACGGTGATTCGAACCCGCGACCCTTAGATTGCCGGACCGAATATCAATTGGAAGTGTTCAAATGTGGAATGTATATAAAGATTGTATATTTGTTTCAAAACTTATTAGGAGACAGCTAATAACAGGGGGCGTCCGTAAAGCTTTTCCCCAGCTATAGCTTTGATATCAATTTGTAATCTTGCACCCCCCTCTCTGTAATATATCCTGCAGACGCCACTGGCTAACAACAAATATATATATCTCACCTTTATTGTATGTTATAAATGTTAATTAGCCAGCAAGAGTAGTCATTTGGTGTAGAAATAAGGCTGCATCTGGATTTCTATAGTTTACTATTGTTAGCTATGATAGGAGGTAGGAAAGATACAATAATCTTGTACACATCGGTAGTGACAATAGATGTATTTTATAGTAAGTTAAGGAAGGTATCAGCTTCATAAACACACATTAATTAAATTTGTTAAGCACGTGATATGAATGCCACCATTTTATTAGCATCCCTAATACCGGAATAACATCCTGGATTCAGAGTTGCACTGGCTCTACATATGTAAGAAATTGCTATAAATAATGTGTAACCTGTGGATTGAGGATTATTTACTGTTCTTGGTTCACAAATATTGCCAGAGCATTACAGTTCAAGTTCATCCCGTAGCTTAAAAAAAGAACCCATTATCATGCACCATTGAATGTCGGAGAATGCCTTGCTCTTATCCAATGTCTCACAAAATAACCATATTATCAATGCATTGCCGCATTTACTGGGTACAAGCAATGCTTTAAATCACATGATCAGTATATTTTGCTTATGCATATAACTAGTGTATTCTATAGGTGTGTGTGTGGGTGCGGGGTCCTAACGAAGTGGCTGGTAACATAGAAATGGATATTACTTTAAGTAAGTTGGCACTGTTTATTTATAAAAAGCATTCATAACAGCCCCGAAGACTAGAGTTTTTTCATCTCACATTTTACATACGCTACACAAAATTTCCCATAGTTTGTTTGTAGTTAAGCACAAAGTTACTCAAAGGGTTATCCGTGATATCTAAACCCGGTTTTTGCCACCATAAGTCTGCAGACTTACCACTGTGCCACTGGGAGGGTGGGAGACTTTTACATAGACGTACAAATATTGAACACCAGGTATTTCTCATTGCTGTAGAAAGACATCCTTTATAAGCCCATACTTCTATTTTATGCGTGTGTTTTCTAAACAAAAAGATGAATTCAGATTTTTTTCCCACTCCCCCTATAAATTGAAAAGACAGTTGATTTATTTAAACTTTTACTATTTTAGGAAGCAATTCTGGAAGAAAAGGAGAAAAAGAAAGAAGAACGAGAGTAAGTGAAGAAGTTTTTCAAAGTTGATTTTATTTTTAAAACGATATATTTTCTTTCAATAACGCGAGTTGTCTTGCGTCCACTAGCTAATTAAAGAATGCTGGTGACGGAACTACACTATTCATACAGTAATATTTTGATTGTTCACTCGACACTTTTTTAGAGTGTGTGTGTGTGTGGTGGGGGTGGGGGGGTTAGTATATATTACGTAAGTAACTAACTACACTAAGTAATAGTTAGTTGTAGTAGTGTCTACCGTAGTAACGTATTCGACTAGTTCG